TGGTGTGTGTGTGTGTGTGTGTGTGTGTGTGTGTGTGTGTGTGTGTGTGCGCGCACATTAGGCGATAAATCTTGTACTTTTGCATTTTATTTATCGTATCTGTCTTCCTGTGTAACAAAAGATCCCAGCCAGAGGTTATTCTTAACTGCTGATTGTTGGGGGAGAGTGCAGCGTCCAGATCCAGAGGTCACTGTGGGCCTCTGGTTACTGAATCAGAGGTCAAAGCTACATCTACGAAGCAGAATTCAGGAGAGAGAAAATCTGATATGAAAACATTTTATAGAGGAAAAGTGGTATTTTTATCTTTAGTGAGGTTACAGGCGATATGATTTATAATAATCACATTACACTTAATATCTTTATTTAACAGTCTCAATTTAACATTTAGTAACGGTGGAGTGTAAGGGCCATATTGGATTGGAAAAAAATCTGATATTTTAAGAATAATGTAATAATTCAAGAATAAAGTTGTAATTTAATAAGAATAACTGTTACAAGAATGAAATATAGATTTTTTCCTTTAATATTTTTCTTCAGTAGTTACTGTTCGTTGCAGTGTTGATTTTCTTGTGAATCTTTGTTGATCAAATTCATTTTACATCAAAGAAGTAATACATTTCATTTATTGTATTGTAGCATTTAATGTGTGGTCAAATATGTTCAGGATACGCTTATCTTCTCCGCAAATCACAGCTGTAGTTGAAACAGTAAATCCAAAGTGCGAAGTGCGTTCCTCACTCTGTTAAATCAAAACAGATGGTTCAGTGATGAGAGATGCCACTTTTCTTTGCACAGGTGGAAGTGGGAGCAGTGCAGCGCCGGTGACACCCACTCAGGTGCTGAGAGCGGCTCCAAACTAACTGATGTGTAGATTATCTGACTCTACAAACTAATGTTTCTATATGAAGTTGGTTTATTGAAGCTTCAGCTTTCACTCTCTACTCCTCACTTCTCTTGCTTACTTCATTGCTGGTTTCTTCTAAACCTTTTTGACCCCCCCCCTTGTTTCTCTCTTCTATTTCTCACTAGCGTATCTTGCTTTGGAGCCTTCCTCTTATTCCCATCCCGGCTCTCAGAGCCTCTCCAAAGGTATCTCTCTCTCTCTCTCCCTCTCTCCTTGGTTCTGCTTTGCAACACCCTCACTTAGCTCCAGAGTGAGAGAGGGGCTTTGGTCCTCAGTGGGGTTCAGACAGATGTAACTTGGATCTGGAACCACTCAAGAGCCACAAAGCTGGAGCCCCTCTCTGCTTTATGCATGTAGATGACAGCAGACATCTATGTAGTATACGTCACTGTAGACAGCTTGTAGTACTATAGCAGTGTATTGTGTGTGGTCTATTTACGTGTGTGTAGGGCTACTGTGACTCTTAAATTCATTCTGACCACAAGCAACCACATTGCCATGTTGTGGATCCCACAAATTAATATCCATAGCAGCAGCAGAATGTTTCACAAACCGTTTAACCACATAATTTAATGACTGGCAGCTGTTGCTACATTGAGCAGATGCTCATGTTGCTAGTGTTCAGAACCTTTATTAGATGGTAAGTAAAGCTGGCATGCTACAGAAGTGTGTCCACTAGATGGAAGTGGTTTTCTTTCTTTTTAAATATTTCCCTGAATGCATGTGCAAGTCATGTGCATGCTAAAGTGTGTGTGCATGTATGTTTTATTTGTGTCCTTAAAAATATCCTTTGGCCAGTTCTCAGTTCTGATCGTGTGGAGCAGATGACCAAAACCTACAATGACATTGAAGTGGTCACTCACCTTTTGGCCGAGGTAGACAATTCCCTTCACTTTACTTGTTTTTCTCCTAGGAAACAGCATCTTATTGATTAATTAACCCTGGAGTATGTGTGTTCTCATTGGACAGCGAGACAGAGACTTGGAGCTGGCCGCTCGGATCGGCCAGTCACTCTTGCAGAGGAACCACCTGCTGCAGGAACGCAATGAGGCCGTAGAGGAGCAGCTAGCACAGGCCCTGGACCAGGTAGCTGATCCATCCCTTTTCACAGTCTCTCTCAATTATAGCAACAAAAAGAAAGGGTGTTTCATATCTATGAGCATGATGATCTAAATGGAATGGTTTAGTGCAGCCAATTGCCTGATCAGAGCAATGGAAACTGTACCCTTAAGCTGAGTTTGTCTATAGATCATAAAAGACTAACCACTCCTACGAAAAACCTTCCTCACTGGCCAGGTTCATCAGCTGCAGCATGAGCTCAGTAAGAAGGATGAGTTGCTGCGGATGGTGGCCAGTGCCTCGGAGGAGAGCGAGACTGACTCCAGCGTGTCCACTCCTCTGCAACAACCTAAGCAGCCGGGGGGAACTGCCGCTGCAGTTGCACTCAGCCAGCTGGAGTCTCTGCAGAGCAAACTGCAGGAGCTGGAGGAGGAGAACCTGGTGCTGAGGTCTGAGGTACGAGGTGTACACAGTGGAAACTGTGAATCAGCCGAACAGAAATTTGATAGGAAGTGAAATGGGAAGTGTTGAATTATAACCACATGATCAGCAATAAATTACAGATTTACAAAGTTACATTTTATTTTGCACACCATATATCCGAAATAAAACAGACTGATTTATAATAATTATAAAAAGATAATTGGAAAAAGAGGGCAAAAATGTCACAGTGTAAGAGGAAGTTGATTCAGATTAGTGTTTTGATAGATTTCTGAAGTGATTCAGTGATTTCAAAGTTTCCTGCAGGAGCCCCTTTAAGGTGATAAAGTGTGCTGACTGAAGAAATGGTCAATAGTTTACAAATCATGAATTTGTCGCTTGTTCTGCTAATGAGTTTTTCGTAATGTCCACACTCCAGGCATGTCAACTGAAGACAGATACTATCACGTATGAGGAGAAGGAGCAGCAGCTTGTGAGCGACTGTGTCAAGGAGCTCCGTGAGTGAAAAACATACGCGTGCACAAACACAGAAAGGGTCACCCTAAAGTGTGAAATACTCTTTTAAACTGATGTTGGTTTGCATGCATGTTTGTTGCCAGGTGAGTCCAACAGCCAGATGGTGTCTCTGACAGATGAATTGTCTCAGAAGAACATGGAGCTGCTTAGACACCAGGAGGAAATTGCTCAGCTGCTCTCTCAGATAGTGGAGCTGCAACACAGAGTGAAGGAGGTGAGAAGTCGGGGTTGTATATGCATAGATAACAAGTTAATTGGATGTCATTGCAGCTCTCCAGTTTCATACTTGATAAATATCATTATCTTCTGTCCCAAAGTTTTGTTTCTTTTAAAGCCAAATTTAAGTTGTTGTGGGTCTTTGAACTGAATCAAAACCGTTCTGCAGTGTATTAACTTTTATTTAGAGCTGAAACAATAGGTCACTAAATTGACCAACTATCACCTGGACTCAAAGTGAAAGAAATGTATGTAGAATGAATCCCCACTGGTTGGTGGAGACATACAACCACAAGGCAGTAATTCTGTAGTTTGAACAGATTTTTGTGAGGGATTTTATTGTGTGTGACAAAGTCTTGTATCTGTTTAAATGCCAGTGTTGTGTTGTTTTCTCTGTAGCTGGCGTTGGAGAAAGAGGAGCTGAGGATCCACCTGCAGGCCTCTAAAGAAGCTCAGCGACAGCTCACAGTAGAGGTACCATCACACACATCCACACACACAATTACAAATCCATGATTTGCTTGAGGTGTAAGTCAATTAGTTGTATTAAATTTACTTGCTGAATACATTTTAAATAACAATTCAATTATTTTTTTTGCTTTCTTAGTTGTTGCAGTAATAAATTCATTTAAGAACTGCTGCTTGTGTGTGTGTGTGTGTTTTCATGTATGCTTCAGCTGAACGAGTTGGCAGAGAGGAACGCAGAGTGCGTCGAGATGCTTCATGAGTCTCATGAGGAGATAAAAGAACTTCGCAGTAAAAACACGCCCTCTACTGGAATGCGAAGGCACCTGTCCTACGGCCTCTACCCCATGGTGAGAGAAATACACTAAAGTCAGCATTATGGCACACAAAAAGAAGATACAGATAATATTGAAAATATAGATTTAAATGATACAAAGATAGTAAATCCTGAGGTGTAAAGTCACAACACACTACTGAAAAAAATACACGATAACAAAAACTTAAGAATCTTCATAATTCAAAATTTGAATGTCATGCTACTGTAGAGTAACATTTTGAGTTTTTGAACACTAGTAGCACCATAGAGAAAGTAGTAGGAAAAGTAGGAACACAATAACAGTACAATGACAATACAAATTAATGTAAACGAATAGTTTACAAGAAAAACCCTGCAGGACATCTTTGAACATGTGTGTATGTGTATGTATGTGTGTGCTTGTATGTGTGTAGGACTCCCTGGCGGCAGAGATCGAGGGCACCATGAGGAGAGAGCTGAGTGTGGAGGAAGAAACCGCCTTTCAGGACCAAAGGTTAGAAAAACCCAAACACTTTCACTTCAGAATCAAGAGGACACAAGCTTATTTTATGCTCATTTAAACTCACAGTTGGTGTTCGAAATGAACAATCCGTTAAGCATAACCACACACTCAGGCTCTGAGTGTTTGATGTTGTGTCAGGAAGAAACTATTTCCCACAATTAAACCTCACTTTCTAAGGAGGACTCACTGGGTGATTTTTGTGAGTGTGCCTGTAATAATTGATTCCCTTTTATAACTTTCACACAAATAAAAGCTGTTGACTCCCTTGTTCAATCACAAAGACAGAGTGATGATGCAATCTGTCTTTGGTCACTTCTGGTTCAGCAGTCAAGAGTAAATTGATCCTTAGTGGCCCTTGTTTCTGACCTTTTGACATCTTCTCCCTGCAGGATATCCCAGAAGCGAGTCTTCCAAACGGTCCGCTCCGTCAATACCGTGACATCGCGGCCAGCTTCAGCCACTCCTCCAATCCCTGGCTCAGGACAGAGCTCTCTGGTGATGACTGCACAGCCTTTCCAGTCCAATCAAGGGTACGCTACAAAGAAGTTATAGTTCCTTTCATGCATTTTACCTAAAGGTATCATTTTGGACCCTTTGAGCTCATTAAATGTGACTTTGTCTCTAGGGAGGAGGTGCGAATGGGGCAGCCCGGCTCTCCTGGAGGAAACGACCTCACCAGAGCCCTCCACCGCCTGTCGCTGCGGCGACATAACTTCCTGTCAGAGCGTCAGTTCTTCCAGGCGGAGCGCGAGAAGAAGTTACAGTCCCTTGCAGGGGCGGAGGCAGATGGAGAGAGCAGCTGCTGCAGCTCACCAATGGGCAGCGTGCTCTCTTCTTACTCGAACCTTTCAGAGCTCTCATTCAGCTCCAGTGCTTTTAAGACCTTCCTCCCTGAAAAGCTTCAGATCGTCAAACCCATGGAAGGTAGAATTAATTTTTCAGTCCTTGTAGTGTTTACTACAGTAAACTTGTAGTGTGTAACTTGAATTTACTAATATATAAAAAAAACTACAGACTTTAAACTCCTCCCCTTCAACTAAGCTGTGTTCAAAATTTGTTTTGGTGCTTTCAAAGGCAAAGAGAAAAAAGCGTTTTCAACTGTCTGGTTTTCAGGTTCACTGACGCTCCATCACTGGCAGCAGCTGGCCAAACCACACCTGGCCACCATCCTGGACCCACACCCAGGCGTTGTGACAAAGGGTTTCCGGCCACTGGCTCAGGATGCTGTCTACCGCCTGTCTGACATGGAGGAAGATGAAGAGGACGAAGAGCACGGAGGGACAAGCGTCCTGGAGAAGGGGACAGCAGAGCGGGGTAAGGAAGTGGAGGATGAGGATGAGGACGAGGACGACGGTGGGATCACTTTCAAGGTGCGCTACACATCTACGCCTGAGGAGAGAAAGGACAGAAAGCATTCGGTGCCTCCTCTTCCTGTCCCACCTCTCTCCCCCACAATGGCGACATCGTCCTCCTTGGTTAGGTCAGACATTTGTCTGACACCTGCACTTCATGTCGCTGGCACATCCAGCCATTCATCTCAGCCCATTCCAAGAGCCTCTACAGCAACAGTCCAACCCCAGAGTCAGATTTGCTCCTCAGTATCAACAACAGCATCTTCCACTGGTAAATAGTGAACACTGAATGTTTAGGTGTTGACGTGGCATCCTACAGTGTAATGTGCTCATGGGTCATTTGCTGTGTGTTCAGTCCAAAATCCAGGAAAGTGTCAGAGCTCCACCTTCTCCACCTACACCTTCACAACCTGCCGCATCCTGCACCCCAGTGACATCACACAGGTCACCCCAAGGTAAGTCGGAAGAGGCTCTAGATGTAATTTCTTCGTTTTAATCATACCATTGTGAATGACAAGAAATTAAGGAATTGAGGGGGTTTGGTAAACAGTCAATAACAAAATCTCTATTCTCTTCACGTGTCTGTCTGTGGTTTTTAGTTCGCAGTCGTCTCTCATGGCCAACACTCCGAGCTCCATGAGGACAGGTCCCAGTACCCCTGTGACCCCCTGCAGACTGAGCCTGGGCGACTCCTTCCCCCCTCGACGCCCCCCAGCGCCTACCAGCAGCCTGGCCAAGCTGGTCCTGGAGAGGGGCATATCTGCACAAGTGTCCACTGACACCCCACCTGCATTGCCGAAAAGCACACCTAGGCAGCCCCTCTTCTGTTTCCTCCCAAACACGCCCCCTAACTCCCCCTCCCACTCGCCTTCTCCCTCTCCTGTGCCCTCAGATTCTCGCCAGCACCCCGCCGACAATTTCCTCGCCTCGCGACCAGCAGAGCTTTTCCTCCAGGACGTTTATGGACTTAATCTTGGCCGTGCCCCTCATCCCGACCTACCGAGCCCCTCCCAGAACACCCCAGCCATCGTCCCTCGAGCCAGGCCCGACACAGTCAACGTTGGACTGGTGGAGAGGCTACGGCGGCTGGGATTCACTAAGGTGCTCCACGGCTCTGAATCTGAGGCCTCAGTGCCTCGCCAGGATTCTGCCACTTTTGTGTCGGCAGGCGGAGGGAGCTTATTGGACGGCCTGAGGCGCAACCAAAGCCTCCCAGCCATGATTGGTGCCAGAGCTGGAAAGACATCTGGTAACCCCAAACCTCCACTACACCCCACCTCCCTGGCCCTCCCCCCACCACCTTGGGGAAACCTTAAAGAGCGCCGTCGGCATCTCGCCTCCGTCTCTCATGTTCCATCAGGTTCAGCCAAGCGCTGAACAGGAGGTTGGACTCCAGAATATTTATCGCATCTCCTACACCTCCTTCCTTTGCTCATCCCCTCATCTCTCCTCCTTTCTGCCTTTGGAGAGATGAGTCAATACATCAGTGGTCAGAACAATCCCTCCTTCTTATGACTTCATTTAAAAGCACAATTCAACTAAATTGACTGTTTTTAGCGACACCACAGTGTCTGTGTGTAGATGTTTGCTATGATGCTAGATGTTAAGGCCTTAGCCTGCCTCTGAACAGGTTATTCAGCTCTTTGTTCCTTCTCAATCGTGTATGAATTAGGCTCCGTAGTTTTCCTGTGAGGCTCTGGATGTTCAGGCTCAGGTAGAGCACAGAAGGAAACTGTACATGGAAGAGGGTTTGCGGAAGTGGATTAGAAAAGAAGATGTTATGTAGCAGAGTGGAGAGTGGTTGCTGCAGGTTTATTCATGTAAGAAGAGAAAGTAAAAGAAGGTGGAGAAAGAAGGACTGGGCATCCAGAGTCTTGCTTTTTTAAGGGCTTGTTCTTTTTGTGGGCTGGAAAAGCTTCAGTCTGTAATAACACAGCATCATGTTCGATGGTTTAAATCTCGCGCCTCAGCGAATAAAAACATACAGTCAAGAGAGAAGGGATTCAACTTGGGACTGGAGTACTTCAAGTGCTGGCTTGAACAACATACTGCCAGGCTCATCCCGTGGTCAGACCATGCATCCAACATGCCAGTATTAATGTTATAATAATGATTTTATAATAGACCATTGTTGCACAGATGTCTGGTGACTTTCCATTTGCCCTGCGTCAGGCGTCTGCATGACACGTGAAGTGACCTTGCCTTCAGGTCCCAGCATGCACCTGTTGGCAGATGGGAGGGCCCAGGCTGAACCAAATCCGGCATCAGGTAAAAAAAGATCTGCCTTTTCCTTCAGGACCTTGTGTTGTGTGTGTTTTTAATGGTATGAGGCCTTAAGTAGAAGCTAGCACTGTTCTGACTTGTTTTTCTGTAAAAACCATGTTTGTATGTAGAGTATTGGTTGCACTCAGTGGGATGTGGAGGTTGGGTTCATTTAAATGATCACTGCGCGGTTATAAACATTTCACTACAACCTTGGGCTTTAAAAGAAAAGTAATTTCAGCCATGTTTTTTCTTTCAGGCCTGTGAGGCTTTCAGGTTCAGTTTATTTCGAGGGAAAAAACACAGACAATTGATTTTATTTGTACGTCATATCCAGGTTTATTATGAGTCTTTTTTTTCCTGTTTAAAATTGGAGGTTGTATCATATGTGGTTCACATTTCTGCAGGTACGTACTCTAAAATACCACATAATGTCATGTTTAGGTAAAAGGAAGCTTTGAGCATTGTGCTTGACCCCTGTGACCCTTCAGCCTTCAGTGCTGCCGATCCCCCCCACTTAACTGCACTTTTATCTTCTTATTTAAGATTTGTTTTACTGACATTAATATTTGAAATTTATATAGATTTTAACATGTTAATGAGAAAATTTAGCATAACGGGTGCCTGTAACAATGTCGGCTAACAATTTCAAGATTTTAATATATGTAGCATTTTTTTCATGTTTCTGCTTTTGTATGTAGAGGCCCACAGAAGGGAAACCATCTCCATCCCAAAGTGTTATTTTAATTTCTTAAGAAATGGAATGCTCTGACTTACAAGTGTGTACTTGTTACAGGTATTGTGCTTATTAGCTGTAACATATTTAACAGTGGAAGAAGAGCTTTGGTTTAATGTTTTTGTATGTTTGTGATTTCGGAGACAAGAGGGAAGAAGGCACATTCAGACTGTTCATATCTTAAGATTAGTCTTAGTCATATCCCCTCCATTCAGTAAAGCAGGAAGTTCAGGTTTGTGTCTTTCTTTGGCTCTATGCTCATGATCCTCTGTAAAGTACTGATGGCTATTATTCGGCTGCCCCTTTTTTTTAAATAAAGCAATGGAAACAAAGCACTCACTGACTCACTTATTTGTTTAATATGACTCTGATTTGATGAAAGACCTAAAAAGCAAAAGCACTTGGATTAATCAACCGATTTTTAAATACATTTATAATAGATACTTTTATTATAAATGAATGAAATGCTTTCCTCCATACTGCGACACAGGCCCACACAGCCCTTTGCCAAACTTAAATACCCCAGGGTTTGGATCATGGTTATACAGGATTTTCAAAGTACCTAATATTATTCAAATAATAACAATAATTCCAACATAAAAAAGAAAAAATAATACATTAAAAAATATCCATTGAATAGTTAGATATTTCATGGGTTGACAGACTGGGATCACCAATCATGGTTTGTTTTTTTGTGCAAAACATAATCTTTGGAGGATCAGTCAGAGACTCATCTGCGCTGATTGATCCTCCAGGTCCAGGTGAAGGTGCTCTCCCAGCTACCTCCACACTTTGTTGACTAAGTGCATTTCAAATATGCAAAAAGATTGCATTTTCACATGGGACAGATCTTAATGCTGTCACTGCTTGAGGTAAACTTGCCGAGGGCAAAGTCCAGACCCACCCCGACTCCGCTCCCCACCCCGAAGACAGCATACAGTGGCTGCGTGAAGTTGGTGCGGAAGGTGTGAAGGTGTGTCATGCTCTCTGCCACACTGTAAAAAGCCAACGTACCCATGGACAGGTCCAGGTAGATGCCAAGACGGGGGGAGTAGGTGACCGGTATGTCCCTCTTCTCATTGTCGTGCATGGCTGAGCAGCAGGTGTCTGAGAGCTCCAGGGTCCAGGACTGTGCATTGTACCCAAGGCCAGATCTGGCATCTGAGCCCTTCCTGTTCAAGGATCCGTAAGCCACGCCCACAGAGGAGCCGCGGCCTCTCCACTCCACCTCCCAGTAACAGTGCTGGGCGTTCAGTGGGCTCTGGCACATCACCTGGGTCCAGCCGTCAAAACGCTGTGGTGTATCGGGGTAGGGCTGAGTCGCACTCTGCAGGATGGCTTTGGTGTTGCCCTCGGAGAGAGCCAGTCGTCGGTGGGCTGTGTTGGGGTCAAGGGTCAAGTTCACAGAGACTGGGAGAGAGAGGGATAAATGAGCAAGTATCCACAAAATCTTCAGTTTGAACATTTAGAATATTCATGAAGCATAAAAGTGGATGCTTGACATCAATAATACTCTCTCATCTAAAAAAAAAAAAACTCATCTAATATGCAAGAATCAAATTAATATTGTAATTGAACACTGAGACTTACACTGCAAGAACTCCTCTCTGGATCTTGGCTCTGGGGCCTGGATGCTTTCGAGGCTGATTTCTCTCACTGGAAAATGAAGCAATCAGTCAGTCCAGGCACAAATCTTAAGAACGCATATTGATTTTCTTTATTTTGCATTCTTTTATCTTAGTTTTCTTTCTTGTTTCTTGTCTAAAAATGGAGATACTGTGAAAATAAAGATGCATTAACTCACATGCAGGGAAAACAGGAGCGTGATTCATGGTGTCAGGGGTGGGTGTGTCCAAGAAGAGACCAGGGTTAACTGTCAAAAAACAAAAAAACACATCAGACCCATAAGTATTAATCAACTTGGAATAGGACTGAACGTGCATATCAGATATTCTATTCCCCATAATCAAAGGCTGCCATCTTACTTTCTGTTGGTGTTTCGGACAAAGCATCCATCCCCCCTGTCGATGATGAACAGAGTCACACACTTTGACAGTATAAAATTCAATAGTCATAGCAAATTGAAGTCATATTATCATAAGAGGCACCTAGACAACCGGTAGAGTCACTGTAGTGGTTTTGATACTATGACTAGAGATGAGAGGATATGAGCTGTCGAAAGGCCTTACATGGGTTTCCTCCTGGGTTGTTGGCAGGCATTGCTGAGGTAGCCGGGGTGGCCTGGTTGATGCCCCGCCGATGGGAGCGGAAGAGGCTGCTGATCGACGCCATTCGACTGAACCCTGGCCGAGCAGAGGGTTTGCAAACAAAAAGTGAGGAATTGAGAGCTGCTTTGTACAAGATTTGCCACAAAAACAAAGTTATAATCCTGAGGAGTGTCTGGAGGTTTGTTTAATTTATACCTCCAGTTGATGCAGGAGCTGGAGCTGGAGTCGGGGTCGGAGACGCAGCAGGAGCAACCTGGTTCTGACTGGACCTGCTCCAGAGGGACTGGGACTCTCTGCGGCTGGGAGTCGGACTGGGTGCCTGGTTCTGACTGAACCTGCTCCCGAGGGACTGGGACTCTCTGCGGCTGGGAGCCGGGCTGGGTCTGGTGTTGGTCTCCCTCACTGTTTGAAAGACAAGATCAGGAGAAAGCCCTCAATATAACTCTTAAAAGAACCGATATGAACAATGCCATCTTGCACATTTGGAGCCAGAGTCTGAACAAAAGCGATCGGAGATGGAGCCGAGGTATCAAGGTCCCTCTCATGACCAATCATGAAACTTATCATAAACACTTGAATATATATTAGTGTGATAAGAAACAAACTGACCTGTCTCTTGTTCCTCTCTCCTCTGTCTGGGGGAGTTTGTGTTTCCTATGTCTGCAAGAACGAAGAAGCACATTTTAAAACACACACATTTCACTGCTTGGTTTAGTGTAATTTCAGGAGTTTCTTTTGAATGTGACAACAGAAAAGTCTCACCTCGTGGTGTATTTCTGCTCCTCACATCCTGACTCTGGAAGCCTAAACCTGAGCGATTACATGTCATGTTTAACATTAAAAGCATATTGACTGACTTCTGATGTTGTTATGTGTGGTAGTGTAATAAAATGTCAGTACCAAGTCCTCTTCTGTCTGTACTCCGACCTCCAACTGAGATGCTGGATGAGGAAGCTGTAAGATTGTATAATAATGTTTTTATTTCATTTTTAAGATGACAGCGTGAGAAGACGAAGTGATGCCACGTTCGAGAGAAAAGAATCTGACTATACCTGGCGAACGGCTGTTTGTGTTGCGGGATCCCAAACCAGAAAACACTATACACAAAGAGAAATTTGTATTTTGAATCATGAAAAAATTAAATTATATATTTGTATTTAATAGGAAAATACAAAACTCACATTTTAATATCCCGGCTTTGGCTCCTGTGCTCTGATTGGCTGTGGAAGGCAAGAGGAAGTCATTCTTCAGAAAGATGTCCTCTTTACACAAATTGAACTTTTTTTATTCTTAGAAAAACGTTTCGAACTCACCGTCTCTCAAAGTGAACAGTGTTGTGTCATTAACTGTAAACAAACAGATGATTAGATTGTAAGATGATTAAGTGTGAAAAGAGAAGTAAATTAGTGATAAGAAACAGAACAAACTGGAGAAAAGACTTGTGTGAGTCACCTTGTTTGGTGATCTTGCTCAGCTCCTGGTTGCACAGGTCCTCCACTCGCTCCCTGAGGTCCAGGATGGCATCTCGTACAGGCTCAAAGGTAGCGTCTGGATTGACCACCACAGTGGGAAGGTCCCCCGACTCCAAGGGACTGATCATAGACTCGTACATCTGGAAGGAAAGTATGGGGGAGAGTAAATATAAAACAAAAGGGGTCAGTAAAAAAGGTGGCCTCCCCCTTTAATGTGGAAATAATGTGTGATGATGATGAGCTGTGATTAAAGGGTCAGTGTGAGATTTCTGGATTTAACCCCCCACCCCGCTTAGAGATTCACAGTCCTCTCTACCTGCAGGTAGTGAATGTGGTCTTCGCAGCGCCCCAGGTCCTTCATCTCCACGTCCCTCCTCTTCAGCTCCCTGATCTCAACCTCCAGACTGTCCGCCACCTCCTGGGCCTGTCCCATCTTCTCCACACTGGCCTGGTCCAGCACCTCGTCCAGGAGCTCCTGCAGACGCTCCACGGAGCGTTGCAGCTCTGACAGCATCTGCTCCGTGTCGTCATGTACCCTGTTTGAGGAGTGCTGTGCAGACGGGACGAGAATATGAAGTGATTCCAGGAAGTGGTTACAGTGGTCGTGAAGTGCAAATCACAATGACAATGGGAAAACACAACAGCATATCTCAAAACACATCTCATATTCCTCTGTGCTTTATTATTTGCTGTTGTGTCTTATGTTTGATGTGTTTTTTTATTTGTCCAAGCATTTCATTGCCAGTGACTGCTAAATGTTATTGTTCTGCACATGACAACAAAGTCTTGAACCTTGAATGAGAAAGACCAACCTTCATCCCCTCCATCATCTTCTTCATGTCTTTGAGCTCCTGCTCTCTGTCTTTTAGTCTCTGCTGATTCCCCACCTGCAGCTCGGAGATCAGTTTCTACACATGGACACACAGTAAAGACACGTCACCCAAAACCGTCCCCATCACTGTCGCACAGATAAAACACAAGCAGGAGGAAAACGACTTCATGTATGACGCAGCAGGCAGCAGGGGAGGGTGGAGCTTTATGAATAGACAGGAATGTAGTTAGGAATGTCCTCGGCTTGCTGGAGACTCTGTCCCACAAAAGCAGAGAGGATGACACCATCAACAGAAATCCACCACAACAATGCACAGTTAGCAGGAGGAGTAAGGAGCTGTTTACTGCAGCTGCCATCTTTCCACTGACAGGATTTACGGAAATAAATGAAACCTTTTTCCATTTAAGATCCATATTAATGTCGTTAAAGTGAACCAAGCACTAATGTTCAGTCTGCTGGTGTCATGTTGAGCTCCAACAGAAAGCTTCATGCTGTTGTATGTTAACAGCAACTGGTCAGAGCCATGAAACAGTTTGTCCATCCATCCAAACATGATATCTCAAGAATGACTTCAGGGACCGACTTAAAATTTAGCACAAACATTCAGTTTGTGCTAAATTTTAAGATAATGATAATGATTACAATTTGGTGGCCATAGGTCAAAGGTCACGGAGACCTCACATGAGTCTGGTATATGTATGCAGACTGAATCTTGTGTGTAATTACAGTCGTATACATAATATCATCACACAACACTTAAATTCAATACTAGATCACATTACACCCTGGTGACTGGCTGAGGGCCCTTCATCCTGAGGCCCCTGCAGCCTCCACACTCTATTACCTGTTTCTCCAATCGCTCGGCCTTGGTGGACACACACTCGTGGCCCTTGTGTATGTCGCTGGTGCAGAGCCAGCAGATGAAGATCTTGCACTGGCGACAGAAGAACTCCTGCAGGTACTTGTGCTGCGTGCAGATCTTCTCGGCCAGATTACCCGTGGGTGCGATGAGCTCATGCTGCTTCAGGGCCTTCTTGGTCTGGTGGGGCTTCAGGTGGGATTCGCAGTAGGAGCTCATGCACACCAGGCAGCTCTTGACAGCTGCTCGTCGGTCACCCTTGCACATGTCACAGGTCACTGCTGCTGCGGAGAGCTTCGCTTTGGGTTTGGATGAGGAGGAGGAAGCCCTGCGGCCGCTACGAATAGAATCACGCACATCAGATTTGTTGGCCCCCTTCCGAAGCTGCTCTACAGCTTCTGCCAGCATGGTGTTCCTGGACAGGGTGGGCTTGGGGCTGAAGGTCTTGCGACACTGGGGGCAGCTGTAGATCCCCTTGGGGTCGTCCTTGCTCCAGTAATCCTTGATGCAGGCCATGCAGTAGCTGTGCCCACAGGGGATGGTGACTGGATCGTTGGGGAGGTCCAGACACACAGGGCAGTTGAACTGCTCCTCTGTCCACAGTTTACCACTCATGGTGATGATGTCAAGCAAAATAAAAGGAAGAAACTGAGAGAATGCAAAGTTTTAGTTCGTAGAGTAGAGTAATGTCTAAAGCACAACAGTGGAGGAGAAAGATCCAGAGGATAAAGAGTTCAGCTTGGACGTCTGGGAGATAATGCTGACTCTCATGTGAGAGCAGGAAGAGGTGAGCTGGGTGGGGCCAGAGTCACCAGGCAGGTCGAGCGGGGAGAACGGGTGTCGGTGGTAAACTGTTAAATGCAGGGGAGTATCTATCTGTCCATCTATCTATCTATCTATCTGTCCATCTATCTATCTATCTATCTATCTATCTATCTATCTATCTATCTATCTATCTATCTATCTATCTTTCTTTCTTTCTTTCTAAAACATAGTTACTATGGCTCTCAGATGGATTAAAAAGCAATTAACTGGCACAGTGAAGCTGAGGTCAGATAGTGTGTCAGTAGTAAACAGTGAATCTTCTCACTGAAAGTTGCTCCTGTAGAAGAACACTGTGCAGAATCAATCATCATGGGTTGATTGGGTTTACTGCAAATTATATAAACCATTGGCATTCATTCATTTAATTTTTATTGCATGTGAAGTAATTTAGATTTGTGGGCAATGTCGAATTTCCAATTGAATGGATGTGTTGTGGATGTGGGAAGAAACCAGAGTATCCAACAAAAAAACATTAATA